GCAATAAACATGAGTACTTGCTTTTTATCTAAGGCAGGGGTGTCCAACTGGCAGCTCACCACATACTGATTTTAAGAGGAATTTTTTGTCTAAATCTGCTGGCAGATATCACAAAAAGTATGCATGGACTTCTATTCTGTTTTGCTAATCAGCTTTCATTACTGTTTGTGTTTAATGTGTGGCCCAAGACAACTCTTATTTTTCCAATGTGCAGCAGAGTAAAAGAAAGGCTGGACACCCTTAATCTGAGTGGGGTTTCTTCAGGTGTCCTCAAACTATGGCCCGCAGGCCACATGCACCCCGCCTAGGACATTTATCCGGCCCGATGGGTACTTTTGCCGCTGCTGCCTGTCCTGCCAACTCATCCTGGGGCCTGCAGTCCAGCTCTCCAATGGTCTGAAGGACGGTGAACTGGTCCCCTGCTTAAAAGGTTTGAGGACCCCTGCCTTAGGCACTAGAGATACCAAATCAAAGATTTACTGTCTTTAAGCAACTGAAGTCCAACAAAAACAGATTAATAGAATTATGAAGATTCCCCAACATCTATACTAGGATGGAAACATCAAAGAAGAAAACTTAATTTAGCTTGGGATGGTCAGTAGTTCACCCAGAGGAGCTAAGTGAATCTGAGAGTCAGTCAGTAGTCAGTTAGGTAGAGAAACTTAGAATATGAAAAGGCAGAGAAGGATAAGAAAAAAATGGTACAATCTGTTATCAGTGTGTTATGGTTAGAACTGAGAAAATACAAGAGGAAAGAATGGTGAAAGGAGTAATGATGTCGGGTAAGTAGGCAAGAGATATTACTGATAAGCCTTGTGGGCTAGGTAAAGGACTGAACTTTAAGACAACAGAGCATGTGTAGTTTCCTAAAATGTATAGAAAAAAAGTCATTAGCTCATCACATCAAAACTATGTTCTCAGGGACATAAAGAAAAACATTACGCCAGGCACAGCAGTTAATGCCTGTTATCCTAACACTTTGGGTAGCCAAGGGAGGAGCATCCCTTGAGGCCAGGAGTTTGATAGCAGCCTAAGCAAACCGGTGAAACCTCCCATCTCTATTAATAAAAAAAAAAAAATTAGCTGGGCATGATTAGTACTTCTCTGTAGTTCTAGCTCCTCAGGAGGCTGAGGCAGGAGGATCTCTTCAGCCCAGGAGTTTGAGGTTGCTGTGACCTATGATCATGCCACTGCACTCTAGCCTACACGACAGAAAGGGAGCTTGTCTAAAAAAAAAAAAAAAATTATGAGATATAATGAAAAGTATTAAATTGTGTGCCACATAAGGATATATGGCAAAAATCATAAAATTAATACTAGAATTAACTAAATTTAGAAGATAATGGCACAGAGATAGTCCCCAAGGTTTCATCAGACAAACCTTACAGGCTTGGTAGTTGTAGCCTCTGTCGCTTATTAGGCCTGGGAATTGTGGGGAAGTTAATAACTTTTTTATGTCTCAGTTTATCCTTATCTATAAAAACAGGAATCCTATCTCCCTTATAGGATTATTGCTAAAATTCAGTGAGAAAATGCATATAAAACACTTATTACATAAATAGCAAAATGATTAAACTATATAGGCTTAAATCCCAGTACTACCATTCACTAGCTCTGAGATCTTGGGAAGTTAAATGAATTGA